TAGTAGAAAGTGTCCCTGCCCATGGCAGAGGGGTTGGAACTAGGTGATTTATGAGGTTCCTTCCAACCCAAACCATTCCATGACTCTGAATTAAATGATTCCCTTCTACCTAGTCACACTGGACTGAGCAACAAACATTGAATTGGTTTGGGTTGAAAGGTAACATTTAAATATCCTAAGATTATACCTGAAGTCTGTGGTCTAAAGCTCAAATTGTCTTTAGTAGGACAAAACCAGGAAGGAGTGAAACTTCAGCCATTCGTTGACTTGTCAGAAATCATTGGCATTTTGTGGAGGCTTAGCCTCATGCTCTGTTTAAACTCTGAAAAGTAAGAATTTATGTTTGAACATCAGAATCCATTTATTTTCTTACAACTGAGATGTGACTGTACCCTGGGTGAGTACAGCCTCAAGTTAGGGGCTGGTGGTGGTCAGTCAGGTGCAGAGGTGTTGATGGGAACAGAATGGGGATCTTGTTCAGAAGTGTGTGATCCTGTGACCCAGGTTCAGGGACAATGCCCTAAATGATGATATAAAGGTTAAAAGTTTGTCTTCCCATGAATGTTGTCTTGACCACTGCTCAGTGATGATGGGCCCATGTACCAAGTCCAACCTTGGTTCATTCTCTGTCTAACTGGTTTCTTTGACTTTATTTCTCCTGCAATTCACCTCCAAAATGTTTAAACCTTTCATACTCTTCTTTACCAGAGCAGCAAAAGCTCAGCAGATGGGACTGTTTAAAACAGAGATTGTTCCAGTGAAGACCACTGTTGTAGACGATCAGGGCAACCAGAAATCAATCACTGTGCACCAAGATGAAGGGATTAGGCCCTCCACGACCCTGGAAGGCTTGGCAAAGCTGAAACCTGCTTTCAAAGAGAATGGAAGCACTACAGCAGGTCAGTTCTGTGATGTTTCTGTGCTTTACCTGCCTTGTCCTAGAATGTGCATAGGCAAAAAAGGTGCTAATAGGTCTTTTCCAACAGGTAATGCCAGCCAGGTCAGTGATGGAGCAGCTGCTGTTCTCCTGGCAAAACGCTCAAAGGCAGCACAGCTGGGGCTCCCCGTCCTGGGGGTGCTCAGGTCCTTTGCTGTGGTGGGGGTCCCACCCGATGTGATGGGCATAGGGCCAGCCTATGCCATCCCTGTTGCTGTGGAAAAGGCAGGTAAGAACCACTTGCTATTCATACGCTGCTTGGCACAAGCAAATCAGACTCCCTGGGCTGAGATTTAACATTATGTTATTCAAGCATGTGCAGTGATTGGCCATGGGAACAGTGAAATTAAATTCAACACATTAAAAGAATTCCTGCCTTAGAGTGTTGCACCAGTGTTCACTTGTACTGATTATTATTCACTCACCTTTGAGCAGCTCAGGAGTAAATCCTGCACAGTTGCAATGACAGTTAACACACAGCAAGTGATTTAGTGTTCATTTAGTGCTGTTTTCTCTTCCCTCATATGACCAGCATGTGAGGGGGTGGGTTTTGTGTTAGGGTTTTGAATTTTTTTCTTTTACAATTTCATCATCTTCTTTATGGTTCTCACCACACTCACCAGGTTAAACAGCTTTTCTAGTGTTGATGATTGCTATGCCCACCTGGCATTGCTATGGTCACATGCCCACCTGTAGCTTTATCTTTCACTCTCAAAACACCCTTCATCCTTAACCCCTCTGCAGAGAAATCACACTTAATCTAAGGAAACGTGGTAAACTCAGTGACACAATGCCATGAACTGTGATGTTTTGCAATCTTTGGTCATTGCTGCACATAAACACGTGTGAGTGCAGGTAGCCCACATGGAGCCAAGGTTCCTCTTTTGTCATGATGGAGTAAAACTGGAATTCACAAAGGGAGGCTGTGAGTGAATTACCTTTGATATAGTCATGAGGCAAAAATATCTCCTTTTAACTCTTGACTTTTCTTACCCATAGGTCTGACTCTGAATGACATTGATATCTATGAAATTAATGAAGCCTTTGCCAGCCAGGTGAGTGATCATCCTGTTTGAGCTGCTGCAGTGCTTGGCAACTGAGTGTACTTCAGCTTGATCTCTAGGTTAAGATTTGAACTTGTTCCACATATTACATCTTCAGCTGAATATTAATAACATGTGCAGACTATTTTCCTTTTCCTTCAAATAAAAATAAGCAGTTTATGGCTTTTACAGCTTAATATTTATAAAGTCCACCAAATAAGAATGCAGTCATTGCTGTTGTACCCTCATACCTACTTGTAAAACCTGTTTCACTGGGGCTGTAAGTTACTGTTAGGTGGTGGTGGTGTGAGTGTGGTACACTCACTAATTTGGACGCAGGAAAGCTCACTGCTGTGTCCTGCACAAATCTGATGTGCCTGTCAGAACGTACATGGGCTCTGTTTGGGATGACATGGAGAGTTGTAGCTCACTTCCCTGTGCCTTGGATTTGAAATTGGTTCCACTCCACTGGGAAGGATGGTCCAGCTGGAGTCAGGCATCTGAGCTGGTGGAGGAGAGCTGAGAACTAATGAGGGCAAGAGCATCTCCATAAATACCCTTTGTCTTTCCAGGCTGTGTACTGTGTTGAAAAGCTGGGCATTCCCATGGAGAAGGTCAACCCCCTGGGAGGAGCAATAGCACTGGGGCACCCACTGGGCTGTACTGGTGCTCGTCAAGTCGTCACTTTGCTCAATGAACTGAAGCGCAGAGGGAAGAGGTGAGCACTGAGGGTCAGTGTTGGTCCTAACACCTACACATGTACAACTAACAGGCTCAAGAGTATCCATCCATTTGGGTTAAGCTTTCTCCATCCCTTGGATGGCTTTGAATTCCCCATGTTTCTCTTGGTGACACAGGAGAGCAGTGGGTAGCTCAGATTTATTGTATTTTTTATTTTTATTTTTCTCCCAGGTGATGTAAACATGAGCTCTCCTTTTCTTAATTCCATGTGTTCTTTGTTTCAGAGCGTATGGAGTTGTGTCCATGTGCATTGGAACTGGCATGGGTGCTGCAGCAGTGTTTGAGTACCCAGGGAAGTAGCTCCAGTACTGACAGGACAACACAACAGCTCATTCTCTGCCTTCCCTAGTGCTAGCAAATGATTTGCACCATGAAATCAAGTGGGTTCTGGGATTCATTACTATATCTACAAATTTTAGGCAGAAATTGTGAAGTAGAATTAACCTTACAGCTCTGCTAAACAGGTCAGGAAATGCAAAACTGGCCCATGGCTTCCTGACATGAGAAATTTGCTCAGGTGATGTTCAGCTGCAGACCCTGGTGTGGTGATTCTGAATGAATACTTTTAATTTAATTGATCTCTTTATTCTGTGAATATTATCAGAGAGAAATAGTTCATGGGACAGTACTTGGGTATGACAAATTGTCTAAAAGGCTCACTCAAAACAAAAACATCAGTGCACATGAAAAGGCTTTTCCAGGGTTTTTTTGAAAGATTTCATACTTTTGCAACAAGTCTAAACCAACTTCTTTTGAAGCAAAGACTTGACAGCCTTTCCTTTATAACTGTCTGTCCTGTCCCTGTCATAAGTTGGCTGTGTCTTAAATTGTCCCTGTGCTGGAGCTCTCTGCTGTTGGAGCTGCTCTGTAGCCTCCAGTGGGGGAAAGAGGAAGGACTGGAATGGAATTTCCACAGGAAGTGCCTGAATAGAAAGGTTCTGTTGAATTGCTAGAAGCAGGAACGTGGAAGTGGCCATTCATTCTTTACAACACATACGCAATTCTCAGTTTGTGTGACTCTAAGAGGACAACCTTGTGCTTAGTCATATTTACTTCCCTAAAATAAAGTGGATTTCAGCATAACTTACTGCAAGCACTACATGAACATCCGTGACAGCTCAGTCCTTCAGTGCTAATACAAACCTGCGTTCTACCCTGTGTCTTTTACCATCTCTTATCTGGTCCCTCGTCTGAGCAGGAAGATCACTGAAACTCAGAGCTGATGTCTTGAAAAAGAAATGTACTCATCATCTTTAATGTGTTAGAAATGTTTAAATTTGTAACAGACTGAAGTTCTTTGTCCTGACTCTTGTTTTTGCACTTATTAATTCAGTTGGGTTCTTGCAATACATTTGTTTCCTTTTTGTGGTGATTGTTTGTTGAAGGTCATGGTGAGTTAGAGCTGTTTGACACTGTCACATTCCCATGCTGTAGCCTGTCTCACCCAGCAATCACACAGCCTATATTTTAGAGCCAAAAGATGGAATCATTTAGAGGGAGCAGGGAGGCATTAGCATCCTCAAGTGTCTTTTCATACCACAGTTCCTGTGCATAAAATGAGTTCAGTGCTAGTACAGCTCTGTTTTCAACAAGTCAAATTGTGCATCTTTTATTCTCCCATGTGGATCTCAGCCCCACACTCCTCACACACACAGAGCCTTTAACAAAAACCTTTTAGGGGAAAACTTAGCTTTAGAGGCTTAGCTAAAGGTTGCTGAAAGCAATATTAAAACCATTTAAAGAGAAGTGTGGGTAAATGGGAACCATGTGGGGATAAATAAAAGGACCAAGGGTTCCTTCCACCCAAGCATGATGAAACATGCAGATTGGTAATTTTCCAAGAAGTGCAGGGAAAGTTGGCTCTTCCCCTTTTCATGTAAGGCACCAAGAGAACGGCCTGGGGAATGCTGGCCTATTCACCAGTTCTTGCTTTTATGATGTGTCAATGCCCACTTTAGTGTCAAACAAATAAGAGAGGCAAAACAAAAGCTATTTTAAGTCTTGAGCTGTAATTTGAGGTGTGCTGGGCTCTGCAGAGGGCTTTGGTCTGACTTAAAACCTGGCTCTGTGGCTACTGCTAAGCTTATCACAGCAATAAAAGTAACAGCACACAATGACATTATGACTGGTTGAGGTGCCATGAGAATACTTTTCCTCGTAACAAAAATTTTCATTCTGATAAAATATTAACAGAAGTAGATGGAAATACAGGCTCAGCTGATGGCACATCTGCATCCAACCCATTACCTTGACATCTGTCCCACATTGTCTTGTTTAAATTAAAGATCTTCATCCTTCCCATCATATGTGCCTTGTCCTCTGATGTGCAGCTTGCAAGGCTTCTCTCCTAGAATTCCAGTAATGGTCACAACAGCTTCATAGTCAATATTGCTCCTAAAATGCACAGCAAAAAGACAGTTCAGTTACAGCTCTGTGCAGATCTGTGTTTAGGGATGTGTTTTTGGAGGAAAGGGGGAGAATGGTGCCCTAAGAGTGCTCCAAGTCACATGCACGAGTCCCCAGCATTGTCCATCTCACTCCATAGTGTCATGTCCCGTGGGTACACACAGGGTGTTAAAAAATGGTCCAGTCTGTACCCAAAGTGAAGACACAATTAATTAACTTCATATGTCAAAGAATAACTTGAGTATCTTCCTACTTGTGAAATGCTATTTTAGTTAAATAAATGAAATGAAGCTCTACTGGGAGCAAACACCTGCACTGCCTTGATGTGAAAATTCTCCCCAGAGACAGACAAGAATTTGAAGCCCAAAGTTTGTCACTCCCCTAAGACAAGGGGCAGTCAGTGGAGTCCAGGTTGTAAATGAACAAAAAGCTTACAGCAAGTGTAGTTTTGTGCCAAGTCTCACAGCATAATTTGCCAAAGGCTAATGCCACCCAACACTCTGGGACTGTTCCTCTGAAGGACTTCTCTGCCTCCCAGTGACGCCTGTTGTAAATGCCTAAGGCAAGTGCCTGTTCTGCCAGACAGCTTTTGTTTTTTCCTTCTCATTAAACAATTTCCCTGCAGAAAGACCACTGACTTAGGGAGGTGAATTATTAATATCACCTCACACCTTGCACATATTTATTTCCTAATGCCATGTTGGTCCCGTGCTCTTCTGTGTTGGGAATTCCTCATCTGGAGCTGCACAGATGGGTTCTCAGCTGCTGTACAGCCACATCTTTGCTTTCTGGTACTTCCAGGCATTTTGAGACATGCTGATTAGCACATGTGTCAGACAAAAAGAAGTGCTTCAGGCATGTTCAGAAGCATTCCAGGAAAATGTAGGCAGTCAGGAGCCTGGGGAGGCCTCTGGTCCACTACAATGCTCTGAGCAGCTCCTCAGACTTCATCCCACTGAGATATCTGTGGCCCCAGTGATGGAAATCATGGGATCATGCTCCAGGGAGGTGGAAGTTATGACAATAACTTATCACCTACACTTTGCTTCTTGAAAATTCCCTGCCAGCAGTGCTCAGAGCTCACTGAAATCACTGAGACATGACTTATTTAAACTTTTTGCCACCATGTGATAACTTCCGATAAGATAACTTGTAATGGAAGGTGAATTTTCTTATAGGAGTTGCATCTCCCTAATTAGAGCGAAGAAATTAAAGGCTTTACATTGGAAGGGACCTTAAAGCTCAACTAGTTCCAATCCCCCCTAGCAATGGGCAGGGTCAGCTTTCACTAGACCAGGTTGCTCCAAGCCCCATCCAGCACAGCCTTGAACATTTCCAAGGATGGGGCATCCACAGCTTCTCTAGGCAACCTGTGCCAGTGCCTCACCACCCTCACAGGGAAGAGTTTCTTTCTAATACCGAATCTAACCCTGCACTCTGGCAGTAGGAAGCCATTCCCCCTTGTCCCATCACTCCATACCCTCATCCAGAGTCCATCTCCAGGTCTCCTGTAGCCTCTTCAGGTACTCAAAGGTGCTCAAAGGTTTCCCTGGAGCCTCCTCTTTCTTCTCCAGACTGAACAACCCCAACTCTGTCAACAGCAAGATCTCAGTCCTGTTAACTTACCTCGCAGTAAAGCTGATCCTCAAAATCTCTCTGGTAGGTGCATCCCCTTTACGTGCCTCCAAAATGCCATTAGTTGGGGAGATGGAAAATACCTCCAGGTCTTCAGGCCTTTCCTGTTCTGCAGTGGAAGGGGCAAATGTCAAACAAAGCACTCAAAACAATGAGCCTCCTTCCTGGGCTGCTAATAAACCCTGTCTTGCACTGTCAGAAGGTTTCTATGCGTGTGCCTGTTTTCATCCTCTAATCAAGGGCAGTGATCAGTGGCCTCCACCTTAAAATAATAATGCCCTGGTCTCCTTTCCTTTGAAGCCCATCTGTTGTTAGGCACATGCTCAAACCAAACTCATGAGGAGCTGCTGCTTCTTGTTGCCCCTAAGGGTTGAATTCTAAATGAGCAAAGCATGTTCACGGGTTATGAGGGCTGTGAGTGACCCTTTTGGTCAGATGTGGAGTAACTGCTGAAATAAATAATGATACACTGATGTCAGAAAAGGGAGAGGAAAGAGGGGAGAGGAAAGAAAAAGCCCACATAAGAGAACAGAAGCAGACCATGTATGCTTTGCAGCCAGTATCATAGCATATGATGTTGGAGGAGAAGGACTTCTTTTAGGGACTGTAGTGATAGGACAAGGAAGAATGGGTATAAATTGAAAGAGAGGAAATTTTAGGTATTAGGAAGAAATTTTTTCCTGTGAGGGTGGTGAGACACTGGCACAGGTTGCCCAAGGAGGCTGTGGCTGCCCCAACCACAGGGGCAAAGCCAGGTTGGATAAAGCCTTGGGCAACCTGGTCTGGTGGGAGGTGTCCCTGCCCAAGACAGGGGGTTGGGACTGGATGATCATTAAGGTCCATTCCAACCCCTTAATATTCTATAATTCTATGATATTGCCTCTATATTGACTGAGTGCATGCAATCTTAGTGAATAAAAACCCTGAATAATGAAACTGTAGGAAATCCAATTGCAAACCAGAATACCCAGCACAGCAGTCCAGCAGCTTCTAGAACCACTCCTGTTCCACAAGAAGACATGTTCTGTCTTGGTCTGTGCAATAAAGCAGGTCTGGAAATCAACTGTGTTGCAAGATAGCTCCAGGACTGGAACAGTGAGGTATGCAGTCACTGGGACCAGCTGCAAAACAGAGGAAAGGGAAAGGAGAATAAAAACCACCTTGTTTTGGTACAGTTTTAATAACACCTGCTCCAGCTGGATCATTCTTAACCCCAAGCACTGAATCAGAAGTCATTTTTTCTGTGTTCTTTCATAACAGAATCAATTGCCATTCTACAGCCTTGAGTGAATTAAGTTGTTGCTTGTGTTACTGTTTTGGGACAGGTTTTCAAACCAGACACTGTGGTCTTAATGAAGTAACATGGAGCAAACATTCTCATTTGTTTTTAGGGTTTTCTGTGGAGCTGCAGACATTACAGCATCTCACCCTCCCTCAGGACTGTGTATGGCCCACTGTGAGTCATTTGGTTTGTGCAGATTGCCCAAGATTGTGATTCAATTGACTTCCTTAGATATGATGCTCGGATCTCACACAGGTCACTCCTCAGAAATACCTGGTATGAAAAGAAAATAAAAGTGCCTGCAGTGTATTGGGCCTGCTGAAGGCTTGGGAGGGGGTTACAGATTTCAGTCTGGAAGAGATCAGTCTTTAAATGTATGTGGGCTCTGACCACACTGCAGGAGTCAGATGGACTCAGGAGCCTTTCCAGAAGCCCTTGGGTGCTGCAGGAAGCAATGCCTGGTGACTCCTGTCTCACAGTCACACTGTAACTGAACCTGTTGCCCTTGGGTTGAGCTGTGTCATCTGGGCTGTCATGCTGTGCAGAGAGGTGGGGTATCAGCACCAGAGTGTGACCCCAAACCACTCTGTCCATCCAAGAAGTCACCTGCAGCCTCAGCAGAGAGCAACCCTGTGGCCATTCACTTCACCCATTGACACCATTTACTCCAGAGGTGGCTGGAGTTCAAGGCCAAGTAAATCCTAAGGCACATCCATTCCTTGTCAGAGATGCTACTGAAACAGCCCTTTCCAGGGCCCAGAGATCCTTTTCTGATCTTACCTGGGTACTGTGGTTACTGTGCTCAATGACCAGATTCTCATTAAACTTCAATTTTCTCTCTCCATTCTCCAACTTGAGAACCTGGAATCCAGGAAGCAGCTGGGTATCTGGCAAACATTGATACGTAAGTAACTCCAGAGTTGTGTGGAATGACACTTTCACCTGTGGGAAGAGGAATTCAGATACCATCACATAAGAAGATACTGCATACAGGAAATCCAAAGTAAACATTGCACAAAGGCCCAGGCACACATTTTCCCAGTGAAACCCAAAAGTGTCATCCCAGCAGCCAAATTCCCACTGGAACAAAGCATTATAACTAGAGAAAAAGCATAGCTATTTCCCATGCAGTACACAGAGATGGAGTGTAGAGGTGAACAGCTGATCTCTGAACCACAGGGGAGAAACAGACTCTAAAAAAGCCAAAGGTTTTGAATTCCTGAAGTTACAAATTCCACATTTCTGAAGTTGTCTTAGACATGTAAGTCCTCTTTCTTCCCACATATACAGAACTGAGCCAAGTGTGCCTCTGTGTCTAAATGAACATGGCAAAATGAGAAGCACACTTCAGAAATGCAACTTACTTACTCTTTGCACCTTAGCTAATTCTCTGCTCCAGGACTTTGTTTCCTTTAATGTCATTTGTACACTCAAAACTAATTGTACTTCTCTCTGCTTGTACTGCCTACATCTAATTAATGGAAATGAGGGACTGTAGTCTTTGGAAATCTTTTACTTTGTCCAGCATATACATGACTATTGATTTAGGTAAGCTCCAAAACCCACACGGTTTTTTGCAGGAGTTTGCAACAGGTCAGAGCTGATGAGAAAAGCACATTGGGACCACTGCAGAAAAATAATCTGCACCTGCAAATATAGCAGGCAAAATGGCAGTAATTAACATTTGCTAATATACCACTGTTTCCCCTGAATTTGGAAGATTTCTGTGCTGGATTTGTTTTTCTTGTGGTTCATCTGGGCCACACTAACACACCAATTACTAAACTATCTATTTTGACACAGGATTATTATTTCTGAGCCTACCAGCATGTTTTGCTGTGGATAAAGTACATATTGCAGTTGCTGTTCTCTTTCCTCCTTCTTGTTGCGGGATGTTTTGGTGCTCTTTTTGAGATCTGGACTGGACAGGCTGAAGGGAGGAGACAGAAGGAGCCTGAAGTGCAAAGGAACCTTGGTGCAATTGGTGAGTTTCAAACTCTGAGTCATTACAGAATCTGTCAAAACCTGGGGGAGAAATGATTCAGAACTGGTTAATTTTAACTCCCTGGAGAGATTTGTGCTGCTCTGTCTGGTTATGCAGCACCAGCAGGGCTGAAGGACTTTTACCCCAAAGCAACACAGTATCTTCTACTTGTGTTTTTCAACATTTTTTGAGTGAAAAAACAAAATACAAATAATGTAATAAAGTATAAAAAGTCTTTGAATTTAAAAGGTCACAGAAACTGAAGTAACTGATTATGCTACTCGACCTGTATGTTAGGCAATCAGAACTTGTTTTTCTACTTCAAAACTCTTCTACAAAGAAAGAGAAAGACATATATAATAGGCATAGTCTGAGCTCAGCTTTGCTTATTCCAGGCTAATAAGTACTTGCAGTACTTCCCTCCCCACTCCATCTTGTTATGTGCAATATAAAAAATTGCAGCATGAGGCTACTGGAGATAAAAAGATGCATTTTCCAAGCCTCTGAATTCTCACAGCAGCACAAACCAGGCAAATACATCAATGTGGAAAATACTTACTCCTAACAGAGGGTGAGCAGGTAGGAGGTCACTTGCCATGGAATAAAACACCATTCCTCTGTCATGATCCATCTCTACTTCTAACCTGAGTGTGAAGAACCAGAGCTGGTGAGAGCCCTGCCTCCGGGCTGACCCATTCTGTGTGGGTACTCACAGCACAGTGGTACTCACAGAGGATGCCTCAGGGAACCTTCCAAGTCCACGCGTAGCGGTGTAGCTTCATAGCCGTGTCTGCGCTGCACCTTGTCAGGCACTGTCCTTGCAAGCTGACAACAACATGCAAACAGAAATGATGTATGAACTGATAACACTAAACCTGAAACCCTACTTTTAGCCCAAGAAGCTGTTTGTCAACCAGAATCCTATTTTGGCTATGTAGTGCCTGTTTGTAAGACATGACGGAACAGCAAAAGCCAAGCAGTAGCTGAACTCTGAATGGCTGTGGTTAATAAAGGTGCAGGGCAGGTTTAGGTGAGATATTAGGTAGTGGGAAGAAATTCTTTGCTGTGAGGCTGGTGAGGCACTGGCACAGGTTCCCAGAGAAGATGTGGATGTCCCAACCCTGGAAGCACTGAAGGTCAGGTTGGATGGGGCTTGGAGCAACCTTGTCTGGTTGAAGACAGGGGGTTTGAAACTAGATGGTCTTTAAGGTCCCTTCCAACCCAGTCCATTTCAGGATTCTGTGATTCTACATTTCTTCCTCCAGGAATAAGGAATACTAGGGTTGTTTTTATTGAATATTCTAATATAATTCATTCAGTTTACTTTGCATCTTTGCAACGACTCATGTCAGAGAATTGCTGAGCCATTCACAAAACACCATTCAAGCCTCACATCAGCCTGTGAGCTGCACTTGTAGTTGTTAAAGAGGAAGTTTCCCAGAGGAGAGATATGCTGTCCAAATTCACACAGGAAGGTGGATGCAGAGCCAGGAACAGGACTCAGCAGTCCTGAGCCTCACTCCCATTGTTAATTATTGTTATCAATAAAACCTGATGTTGTGATGACGTTTCAAATCCTGGGCTTTTGTCTGGGATCTATTGCCCCAGACAAAGCAAGAAGATGATGACATTCCCACCCCAGAATGCTTCCAAGCTAAAAGACAACTGCAACAGATGAACAACCCCAGTTAAGGAAGGATGTACAGGGTAGCAGGAACAGGACTGTTTATACAGACTGGCCAGGTACACACCAGCCTGTACATAAATTACAGGAAGGGAAACGATTATTTCCCAGGCACCTTTAGCCTTGCTCTGACGGTCGGTTTACCTTATCGTCCAGGCTCACGAAGCCCAGCACAAACCCTTCACACCGCACTTCAGCCGTGGTCTCCGGGAGGACGCGCGGGGTGAAGGAGATGCAAACGGAGCTGCTGCCACCTCCTGGAATCACCTGCGACCAAGAGACAGCGATTAGTAGTGCGGGAGCTGCCTGGGATTGCACAAGCACTCAGCACGCAGCTGCTAAAGCCGAGTTGCACAAGCAGCGTGAAATCCCCTGGGTATGGGCTACGCTCAGGCTTGGGCTAAAATGCCAACATGTGACAGCAAAACGGACAGTTATTTCAGCTGCAAATATCAGAGCAGCCGTGCTTTAGCACCAACAGAGTTTAAGCAGAGTCACAGACCAACTCCTTAAGTACACAAACATATGTATAGCTGTTTGCTTTTAAAAACTCCCAGTTCTGCCCACTCTTACTCCATGGCTAACTCAGATCATTCTCCCACGACTTACAGATATAAGAAACATTTTTTTGAAGAGATACAAGTGTGAACAAAGGGTATTTTACAGTTCAGTTTAGTCTTCGCTGGTATTTTATTTCACATGACAGCAAGGAATGTAATCAGGTGTACTAGTCAGCTGCAGTGGATTTTCAGGGATTTAGAGATTGACTAGGTTCTGCTTTCCTTTGGTGCACCATGCAGGTTATGGTTAAATCCTGATGTTGCTGCTGGCTACACCCCACAGAAGCTGCCTCCATAGTGAGCCCCTTGTTTGTTGGACTTGTCTCAGCCTCAATCACCCCAGAGCTGACTGCAGCTTCATTTCTTTGAGATGCCATTCTGTCATTATTTATTTTACGTAATCTTTAGCTCATTCTAATTTGCAATTAAAACCCTTTGGTAAAAAAAGGAAAATAAATAAAATTACTGATATTTAAAATCAAATTTGACACACTGATGTTTTGGGCAATGCTGTCACTCATAGATCTTTCCAGTGCTGTCTTTGCTTCATTATATTTCTGAGGAATTGTGATGCTGTGGCCTCTGTTTGTACCACTTATTTCTGGAGCACTGTGAGTTACAACAGTTTATCCAGAAGAGTTGCCTACAGAGCACCCTTTCCCAGCATCCTGATTTCCAGCTCTGCCACATCTCCTTAGCAAGTCTACCCTGGTTAAGTAACCTGGTTCCAAAGCTTCAGGCTGGATGCCTTCCACACTTCACCAAGGCAACCCAAGTAAGAAGACCAGAGATGCCACTCTGGAGAGCCCAGTACAACTGAGCACTCAACTGTAGTCATCAGTTCACTGCTCAAATGTAGGTCGGACACTTTATGTTGACTTGCAAACTCTTCTTCCAGCCTACTGTCTCATTGTTTAGTAGTCTCTATCTCAAACCAAACTCAGAGCTACCTCCTTCTCTGACTCCTCTGTCTTGCAAAAAGTATCTAAGCACAAGGGAAATATAAAAGCTTACTATCTGTCTTGGAGTAATGGAGTAGGGACTGTCTGCAGGAACCCCTTCGTGAGGCTGTATAAGCACAGAGATGATTTTCTCTGTTGTAGGCTCCTGACTGATGATTTTCTTCTCTTTGCTGTCACATTCTGGAGGCTGCAGGGACACAGGGTGAGGAATGGTTAAAAGTGTTACACTGCAAAGGAGGAATGCGAGTGACGTGCACAGAGAACTGCTGCACTGGTCAGTAAGTGTGGCCAGCTCCAGTTCCTTTCTTTCTGGCACAAAAGCTGGACATGTGGATGTGTCATGTACGTTAATTTTTTCATGCACAGAGTAGCTCTCCTGAAACTGCTGATGAATTCCTTGGAAAATGTGCATGTTTGGGTCCTGTTCTACCCAGAGAAGCACTAACCATGACCCCTCTGGCCTCTTATACAAACCAGCACTCCAGGGAGTAGTGTTCCCTTAGTGCACAGGAAAGGTTAGAGGCATGTTCAAAACAACTGCACCTTCTGAGCTGAAGCAGAGAGAATGTGATTTTAGTACATTTTCTGTAAAGCTTTAGCCAGAGAAATATACATACCCCAGGGGATACCTTCTCCCTGTCAGTCCCAGCCCTTCAAGGCAGTATATTGCCACATTATAATCAAACTTCACGTGTAATAGATGTCACCATATTCTAACAGAGTAACAGCACCAATCTAACTTCAGCACAGAGATAAATACCTCCATCTCATTAGCTGCAATTTGAACTTTGCAGGTGAGATTCTGCTCCCTGACTATAGCACATGCTGACACCATCAAACACCCATGAAAAATGCAGACCCAAATTAAGGAGTTTTAGTCATTGTAATTCTTTCATTTAATAATGGCATTAGTTTGTCAATGACAGTACTTTTAAAAGTATCTCTTCAGCTTCTTTAAATTTTTAAGGAGAAGCTGAAGACCTATTTGCTTGTAGCTCATTCTGGAAACTGACTGCTGATCTCCATAGCCATCTACCCACGTACTGAGATTTTGACATGAGAGGAGCTGACACTTCTTTTAACAATCCAGCTCTTAGTTACAAGTTATATCTCCTGTTATTGTTTTGAACCCTTCATGCCAAAAAATCCATCATGTATCTCAGCAGCAGTATAAAAAACAGCCTAACAGCTGACCTCATCCGTGGTGTGCAAAGTTGGATAAATGCTTCCACAGGGAACAGAAGTCTGATCCAAATTTAACACCATCTCTGACTCTGAGGTGCTGCCACTTGATGCAGTCTCATTTTCATCCATGTTCTTAAGAGGAAAAGGGTCTCCAAAGTGAATCAACAGGTCAACCAGCTTTTCATCATCTTGCTCTTGGTTGTAAACTTCCCAGTCCAGGCGGATGTCTGAATTGGAAAGGGGAAAGGACAATTACTGCTGGTCAGTGAGAGGACTCGTAGCTTAGTCGATTACCAGAGAACCAGAATATCAAGTAGGGAATTTGTGTCCAGCAACTGGATTTGTATTAAAGCATATCCAAAGCTTTCCATGTTTGCTATAAACTAAAATAATTCAAGCTCTTGCTATAACTTAACTACTTTCTAGGTCCCAAATGATACTTTTAACAACATTAAAATAAATTATGAGTATTTTAATTTGTTAAGCAAATGTGTTTGGCAACATTCAGGAAAAAAAAAAAAAGGTGATTGACCTTTGTTCAAGAGCTTAAAATCTCACTCAAGAGCTAAAAAGACTTAACACAGAAGAGCCAGATGCAGGTAGCACATCTGATTGACCAGAGTTAGTGTTGTGAGAGATTTAGAAAACCAGGATGTCCTGAACTCCCATCACTTCAGTTAGGGAAACCCCAGATACATCAGGATAGGATGTGCAGTTTCATACTAACAACACATTGACTCACTCTCTTACACACTGATTTTTACAAAACTCATCTCAATTATGAAACAAGTAAGCCTGTTAATTAACATATTAATGGTTCCTGTATTTTTTTCTTACAAGGAACTCAACGCCAGTGTTGTTTGCTGTACCAGAGTCATTCTTACCAAAGGGGGAGGGATTGTTCAGCTGGACTCTCCGAAAGACAGAAGACCCTCCTGAGACGTGAGTGCCAAACCTGAGGGGGGAACCCTGCTGTCAGTACATGCAAAGAACAAAAGGGTCTGAAACCATTAAAGAGTTGTTTAAAAGTGGAAACAAATTGGCTGCCCTGGCAGCCTGTCAAGAGTTGCTGTCAGGTAAAGCATGGCCTATACTGTGAAGTACAATATTTTTTTGTTTCATTTGTGTCTTTTTTTCCCAGTATTTTTTAGTTGTCTCATATATTTCAGGGTAACCATGTGCAGTGCTGTGGCCCCCATAAACCATCCCTTTCCCCTTACCCAGAGGTGCAGGTGCAATTGCAATGGGAGGGCTTAAACTTTCCCCTGCCCTCATTTACCTTGGGGCTGCATTTCTCCCAGTCCAGGGAATGCAACAGGGAGAAATGAGCTGTGGATGATGAGAACTGCCGTGGTGTGCCAGTTTCCACCTCCACAGACTCAGATGAGGTTGGACTGGGTGAAATTCTACAATTGCAAGCCCAGAACAGTGATTGCTGGCAAACCTGAGCAGGCTGGTATGCAGATTGTTTTCTAATTATGCTGGCAGAGACAAATGTGTTGGTGTTTTAGAAGCAGATATTGTACTCTGACAGTCACTTTGCTGACCTTCTCATTATATCACAAGATGGAACAGGTGTGTGTGTTGGCTACAGTCCAATGGTATTTAATTCTCTGATTTGTCAGACAGTATTATGTGTTATACCTGATTACAGGTGGCTCTGTTAGTGGTCCTGTCATCTGCAGGAAGATTGGACAGCCTTTCACAGTCATTTGCATAGGAATTAATTTAGGCTGCAAGTCTCCCACCTATTAAAAATGATTTTTTGCTGTTAGAATCAAGACAAAACCTTGGTCCTCTGCATTAGAAGATTATGTCTTAAAAACTGATTGGATTTTCAAATATTTTTGACAGCATCTAATTCATATGCTAACAACAACCTTCACAGCAGGAGAACATAATACCTCATACATTTTTCAGCTTTCCTGCTGCTTTTCCATACAGCACAATATATTGCATTGGTCGAGCAGAGCAGTGCACTGGCCAGCTACCAAACAGATGTTATAAATCAAAACTGCTCCAGTCATTTTAAAATCACAAGAAAACCTCTCAAGGGATAAACATGTCACCCCAAAACTAAACTATGCACTGTAAGAGCAAACAATTGTTCCTTACAGCTCGTTGCAGGTAGTGGTACACCAATATCTACCATGAATTTCTACAGAAGTCCTAAAAAACTGAAAAAATATTTCTTACGGAAAGGAATCTGTTAAATATAATTGGTGTCAAATCTGCCATAGCAATATTTCGTTTAAAACCCAAACCTCACCCACCTTACAGACAAGATTATCCTGGTACTCTCCCCACATGTTGTTGTAAGCTGTTACATCTATGATGAGCTGCTGGAAGGCTTTCAGAGTTCCTCTGGAAGGTTGTACATGGAAAGCTACTCCCTTCCCGTGGGACAGCACTGCTGCTGCAAACTCTGAAGGAGCACGGCAAAGAACCATTTGATGAATTTTGAGAAAATGGAACAAAGTTAGTCTCTCAAAGAATACACAGGACCATAGTTTTAGCTGGTGTTAATCATCTTAACCTCACTGACTTAAAAAAGCCTTGTGATCATTTACACAACTCACATTTATAACACTTTACCCAAGTTCCCTTCTACAGTGAGTTTTATTCTGTTTTCTGAAGATTAATTCTACACAGAATATTTTATAGCAGGACTCCCTTCCAACAATCTGATCCAGGACTCTCTGGGATATGCAAGGCACTAATTGGTTGCATGAACACACACCCTCAATTTGAGAAAAATAACTGGAATTTGTGCTAACTGGCTATTGTTCTATTAGCAGCTGTTTGCCTCTGTGCTCTTCCACACAAAGAGTGAATTACAAAGAGCAAAGCCTCTTCACATTCTGAGTCACCTATCCTTAGTCTAAAGGCCTGTATGGAATCTGTCAGAACAGCATTTTTTCCAGTCTTAAGTACTAATAAAACAGCTGTAAAGCTCTGTCTGTGTAACAGACACCAAACACTCTGGCAAGGTACCAATATGTCCAAGTTTTATTTTGGATACAGAAGACACATCCACACTTGATAGCATTTTGCTCCTATTTTCCCCCTCCCTGAGTCTCATGTGGCTCCAAATATTATTATTTTTCAGAAATGACAGAAGGGCTGTGCTGCAGCTTTCCACAGGGAATATATATACAGGGAGGATATATGAAAGGGTTTGAGGGAGAAAAGGCTCCTGCAGTGGTACTGGAAAACTGTCTAGGAGAGATATAGCCAAATGTTCTGCATGTCATTCATACCATGTGCTGGGAGCATTACTGGGAGTGAACTATCACCAGAATCACCATCTTTGTTTCAGACTGTTGTTTTCAAGAAAAAGAGTAAGAGAAAGAAAGGGAGAGGAAGAGAGAAAAAAAGAAGCAGAAGGGCAAGAGAGACACTGACCTAATGCTTCTGCAATGTGGGCTTTCAAACTCAAGAACAAGCTGAGGAACTAAGTCATTTAACAATTTAGAATTCACCAGCTACTCCAAGAATGAGATGATGTGCCTGACTGGCACATTTAGTGCTGATCATGGCAGTCAGTTTTACCTTCTCTTCACTGAGGGTTTAACAGCTATTCTCATACCTGCCTGTGCTTTTCTGGCTGCATGTTTTGTGACAGGCCCTCTTCTTTTCACCACGTAGCTTGAGGAGCTTGAAAAAAATAAACTTGATTTCAGGTTTAATCCAGACCTAAATTAGTATTTGAGTCCTTATGCAAAAAACCAAGACTTACAGGCAGCATCTTTGTTCTGGATTTGGTGAACAGGCAGTAAAATACTCAGGTTCCAGTGTGAATGGAGCACTGATTCCAGTGGAATTGGTAAGCACTAGCTGACGCTTTACAATGTCTTTGACTGCAACTTCAGAGCCAAAATCCAGAAGAAGCTCACATGGGCTTTGTGACATTTGTCTTTCCTCACTGCTAGAAAAAAAAACATTAGTATTAAAGCATGGGCCTTATTTTCTCATGCCACAGATAATTTCAGTAGATTTTAAAACATGCAACATGCAATGTGGTTGTGATGCATAGTGTAAAAGGGACACACAGCCAATTATTTTTGCCATCAGTATTTTCTGCTTTTCAAATTTTCACTTCTATCCAAGTAAAAAAAGTTTCCCAAAATAAATCCTATCATGCATAACATGCCAACTTACCAAATTAAAGCCATTTTTACTCATATGAAAAGATACAAAGATAAGCATGATCCAAAAGACAGTAATCATGCTACATACCAGAAAAATGAAACAAAAATCAGTCTGATATACCTGGAATCTTCACTGTCATGAGGTACTGAGTAAGTGACATGCAGTCCCTTGACTCCTCCAGAAATGCTTAGAAAGAGGGGTTCAGTCATGTCTTCTATGCTACAGGAAAGGACAAGGTCTTTCAGCTCACCCTGAAAGGCAAAGAGTCAAGTTTCCTCATGAATGAAGCAAACTTCATAGAGGAACAGCAGCCTCATTAGGAAATTTATTTGGAAAACATGTATAAACTTCCCTGGATTAAAACCAGAACAATGAAATTCTGAGAAGTTTTACTGGATTGTTTTCAGTGCATTTTCTGCCAATATCAGAGCTGCTTAGAAGGCAGTACCAAGGTAAAACTTCATGGCTATTTCTTGGCTTTGTACCTGCATCAATCTGTAAGCCTAAAACTGCTCCATTAGTGATTTTTGACACAGTTCCTATACTGCAAGTGATGAATCATAGACTCATTTAGGTTGGAAAAGACTGCCAAGATCATAGAGTCCAACTGTTAACTCAGCACTGCCAAGGCCACCACTAAACCTTGTCCTCAAGTGCCACATGTACACATCTTGCACTGATGTACTGATGTGTGTGGGTACTGATAGTACTGAACACCCACTTTTAAGAAAATAAAGTAAATTTATGTCTACAGTGACGGTAATGGGAACTAATACACCACATCTATAGGAAGCTCCTTTATTCAGCTGCATTAAATCAGCTGTTCAGCTGTTTGAATGCCCCTATCAAATCTATGGCTGAATTCCTGAAGTCTGTAAGCTCTGCAGCTCACACCCTATTTTGCAGACTCTCAGTCCTGGTGTTCAAGTATCAAAACGTCATGAGCTCAGTTGCATTCAGAAACCCAAATATATACTCTTTATGCCAATCTGATCCATGTAATTTGGGATAATCCAAAGCAAGGATCTGTATGCTCCAGGAAGAGTGATAAGAACAATTAACCAGGCATTCAAGAAAAAAAGAAATAGGAACAGCTGAGAAACAAAGAGGCAGTGTAGAAAATTGCACACCATGTGCACTGCTTTAATTCTTGCCTTCAGCCATGGCACCTCTAAAAGCAGAGCAATTTCAAAGACATGAAAAGAGATCACTCGACTTTGTAAATAAAGTCCTTCCTTCTGCCAGATGGAGGTGAGATGAAAAAGCCAGTGTTGCTGTTCTGATAAAACTGTACATCAGTTTTTAAACTTACCACAATGTCAGCTGACAGCTCTATGCAGAATTCTTTCTCTTCATTTGGGCCTAAGGTGCCACTGGCAGGGGAGACAGTGACTGAGCAGGAAGATGCCTGGCTTCCAATGAGCTGCCAAACAGAACAGACACACCTTCAGCTAATGATGAGTCTTTCAGATTGTCAAAAAGACTACAAAACCAGAGTTATTCTCATGCTTAGGACACTTTCAGGTAGCAACACTGTTTGTTGAGACTACATTCATTCCAAATGACTTCAGGTGCCCAGCTGAGGCTTTCAGGCTGGGAGCAGAGTCACTGTCATCCCTCTCACAGTCAAAAGTTTTTCCAGAGTTATGTCAACCTATCTGATATTGGAGCAGGATCCTAGAGGTGCCCCATCTCTCTTCACTGACAGAGGAGAGACAATACTGGTGCTGGCACCTTCCCTAAGTGACCATCTGCACATGGCATGAATCCAGGGCTTCAACTCAATTGCTCACACACAAGCATCAGATATCAGGAAAATTGCTGTGGATATCTTTCCTAGGCTACAAATGTTCCAGAGTGTATTCCTGTAAGTCCTATATCATCCACATTTTCTGTTAGGATCCCTTGGGCACCTGAGGACATCTTGGACTGCACTAGGTGCTTTTATGTAAGCAGCTGAGCTGAACCTTGGATGTCAGAGTAGATCTGAATGACCAAGGCACAACAAATTTCCATTGACTGAAAAGAGAGTTCAGACCACAGCTTACATGCTGACATTAAATGTAGGGCTCCTAAACTGTAAGATGAAACCCACCCAGAAAGTGAAATTTAAGTAAAATTCAGACACAATTCAAAAGCACCATTGTTTCTTTGTCCTACTAAATTAAGTGCCATGGTACTTGTTTAATACTCCAGTAGCTTACAACCTATGGCCCCTCACATCTGCCCACCCATTCTCCAAGGGACAATCCACAGACAGTAAGAGCATATTCACATCAGCTGGTGATTAATCTTTTCATAAGGCTAGTCTCAAGTAGAAATTTTGTTCCTAAGCCTGTAAACAGCAATCACTACTCAAAAGATACACCAGAAAAGCTTTAAAGAATAGTTATTATTCATATTTCTATAGAAATTGCAGTTTCCATCCCTGCTGTATACTTCATCCATTAGAAGAGCATTTACCTTTCCCCATAAGTATTTTGTTGGCAGCAGTGTCTGGTTATAAAGTTTACTGGTTGCTCTTGCAGGAACTCCAGTATAAATTTCAGGGAATACTAGATGACTAGATAGCAGGCATGCTTGGGGGGTCTGAACTTCAACAAAAACAGGAAGATGACTGGAAATAAACACACAGATGGTCTATTGTTATTGTCAGTGCGATGTGCTAGACATGCAGCAGCATGCTGGGAAGAATGATGATTGTGTTTATTTAGCACTATTAGCAGTTTGATAGTTCATTGATAGGTTACAAACCACCATTCTGAGTTGATAGTTTTGTTTCAGGAGAGAAAACTACCTGAAGTGAAAATCACATGTGAATCTCAGGGTAAACAAAGCAGAACACCACTTTTCCTCCTTACCTTCCTTCTCCATTTTCTACCTCGAGTTCCAATACTGTCTGGAGGCGCTGGCACTTCAGTGATGTGAACTGAACAGACACAATGCATATACCCAGAGGAGGTATTTCTCCAGCTGATGGCTGGATGGTAAAGGGAGATACCTGGGACAGGAGAGAGAAAACAGATTTTTTTGACATCTGCGAAGGTAAAATGCTGAAGCCACACAATCCAATTAGGCCTTGCATGTGTCTGTGTTTTCCTCAGACTTGTCCCTTCTCTCTGCCCCTTGAGTCCCACCTGGGTTGATGTCAGTATACACAGTGCCAGCTTTGTGAAAACCAAGGAGGCAGGACTTTGCTTTTAAGAGAAGGGTAGTCACAGCCAAGGGCATAACAGGGTTGGCTATGCATGGAAAGACAGGGACTGTGAAGGAGGAGCAGTCAACCTCAGCAGCAGTGTCTGCTCCCAAGCAGCAGCTGTGTGAGGTGCCACAAGCTGGAAAGCTTCTTGGACAGAAGGGCAAAGAGATAGAGTTGGAAGAGTGGAAACAAAGAGCATCATTGTGGGGTGGAGGCTGAGATTCTTGTCTGAGATGCTGGTGTGGGAGGTGTGTTTAGCAGTTCTACTAAAGACTTAACCTCTTCTTCATATCAGCAGCAGCTGAAATCACAATTTTACAGGCAATGCTCCATGTCTCTTTGGGTCAGGCTGGCAGGATTTGTAATAAATGCAAATAGAAAAAAAATGTAAAGAAGCATTTTGTCTCAAAAGAACTCATGCACTTATGAAACTGTGCAGGACCAGTTTTGTAAGAAGTCACAAAGATTAGAACTTCTGATAGCTGGAATGAATATTACAGCTCCTAAGCAGAAGGGAAAAATAGCTAAAGAGGGAACACATCTAGCTGTAGCAGTGACTTACCTCTTCATTCCTTTTAGCTAGACAAACCTGGCTTTCTTGTATTCTCCACTGTGCTGGCAGCTGACACAGGTTTTTAATCTCAAAGGTTCTTAATGCACTCTCACCCTGCTTAATCAAACCAAACTGGAGTGATGCAACATCCATACAAAGAAGTGGACCCTAGGACACCAGGAAATAGACATCAGAATGGACACTTTTGCCAAAACTGCCTAATTAAGAAACATACATCAAGACTGACATTTGATTTCAGAGAACAGCAGAAAGCAAATGCACTGTTGTAATGCAGAAGAATTCTGAGTGTCATGAGAGCATTAACATTGCCTCAATAGTTACTAGATAGAAAAATACCTCCTGTTTGTAATTGCTTTAGATTTATCAAGCCTTTAAGAGGCAAAAAAAGCTTCATATGGACAAAGCCCAGGCCTCACACTTCATCATCCTGCGACACTAAACTGTTCCTTACCTTAAAAGCAGCTTCAACATGCAGCAGAACTGGCTCTGGACAGGGCTCAATGTTACACTGCAGGTTATGGCTGATGACCCCAGGTTTGCTTCTAGTAATTATCAGTTCAAATTCACAGCATTTATTCATATCTGGAAAAGAAAAATTCAGGATTCTGTCTCATCCTGTTGCAAAGGAACCACCTCCTCTAAGCCTGTTATAGAAGTTCCTGGAACCACATTAACTCTCCTGCTGGCTCCAGTGGGCTGGGGATCAGATATTTTTGCAATTTGCATTATAGTGCTCTGCAACTGTCATTAATTGACATCATCAATTAAGTCATTAATTGATGCTTGCAAGTCACAGGAACTTTACCTATGACACCAGTATGAGGCTCAACTTCCATGATCTCACAGGCAGTGATTTTATCCCATGTGTACTTGATCAATGATCTGCTGTTGTTCCACATCTGAAACAATCAAAATCAATGAGGCAATTAATGCACTTTAAGCTTTCACAGCAACAAGTCAATTTGCTGAGTGCACTGATACACTGAAAACTAGGTCATCATTATTTAACACAGTGGGTATCTTCCCACAGGTGAAAGTGTTTTCTGAAACCTGATGAAAAGCCATTAACCATTAAAAGCCATTAAAGTTCCTTCCAAGAACTTTATCATATTTGAAGAGTTTTAAATATATTCCCCATTTTTTAAAAATTTAACAGACTTTCTACACTTAAACTGCAGATCCTTTCAAGTGCAGCCTTTTTTGTTTTAGTTTTTTTTTGGCTAAAGAATCTGTTTGTGAGGAAGATGTAAGCTCTTGAATCTTTGTCCTGCTCCTCAGATGTGGTCAGACATTATTTCTTAATTACAGCAAATACCTTTGTTCTCTGAAGCACAATCATCTCTAAGTACAATAAAAATTCAGACTAAAAAAACAACTGGAAACTGCAAGGAATGTCATTCTATCATCAGTAAGTGGCTTAATTACCTTTATCATGTGTAGCTATACTTGATTACTGTAAAGTATAAAATGGCTCTTTTAAATTGAGAAATAAGTTATAGGAAGAGAAGGCATGAAACCAAATGCTGATTAGCAGAATCTCTAAGGAAAAAATGAGAAAACCATTAACTGGGTAATGTCTTCCTGCCTGGCTCTTACTATCAGGTCTATTTTTCCCAAGTGAGTCTAAGATCAAAACGATCCTGTTCCATAGTGAAGAGGATACTGTGTGAGAGGACAATTGCAGCAGCAATTCTGTCCCAAAACAGGAGTGACAAAGTGATAAGCAACATTTAGTTAGTGACTGAGAAAAACATTTAAAAGGGTGAAACTGTGGTATCAAACTGGAGAGGTGAAAAAGGAACAAAGGCTGCTGCCTGCAGTGTAGGGCTGAGGAGGCTGGGGAGGGGATTCCAGTGCAGACCCTCCTGGAGTCAAGACCTTCTTCAAAAACATTTAAGAAAAACTGAAACAACACAGACTGTCTGATACCTTATAATAACACCTATGACATCTAGTGATGCAAAGCACAAGGTAACAATGAAGTCAAAAGCAAACAAACCTTAAATGTTTTCCTGACATTTACACCAATAAAGTTTTCTCCAGGGATGATAATGGCATATGGCTCCAGCAGAAGATGAAATGGTTCTGTTGATCCTTTAACTTCTATCTCCAGTGCTATTACATCCTCTGCTTTGCATTCTGGGATGTTTTGAAGCATCCCCTCTTTTACTAAGCTTTGGGAAGAAATATGGTGGAATTATTAACATCTTAAACTGGTGTTAAATTGGATCTTAACAATTAACACATCTTTTAATTGCCAGATGTAAACCAAAAATCATCAAAAGTTTCTCAAGCACAGACTGCCTGTGTGCAGCTAGCTCAGCCTGGGGACAGTTAGAAACTTCATCATTCTTTAAGGCACTCTGGTTGTTGCAGTCTGTTCGTGAACAAGTATGTAAAGGCATAGACTGCTGTGACAAACAGTAATAACAGGAGAACCTGGAAACGGAGCAGACAAATGCAAGTATTTTCCTTTTCCCAGAGAGAAGCAGCCCCAGCTAGGACTAAGGCACACGTCCAGGCATAGGGAAGATATCAAAGTTGCTCTGTGTACCACAAATAGTTGTGCAAATACAATTTTTTATACCTGTCAGTCCATTGTCTCCAGAAAGATGAGAAAACTCAGTAACTTAATGTTACTGATAAATTGTGGCTACACATCTTACTGGGAAATATGTTTCTCTGCTTACCAAGGTGATACTGGGATGTCCCTCAATACCATCTGAATCACACTGTGATAACTCTTCAGCTGCACAGATGAAAGAGAAAAGGATTTTAATTCCAAGTGATTAGTTATGTTGAAAAAAAAAGATGGAAAAGTAGTTTACATGTAAAGGATGAATGATCATCACCAGAATACTAAGCTCTGATAAACAATATTCAAACTCTAGAGTTGCTAAAAGAAAACATGTTTGACTGCAAAATATTGAGCCAGATCCTGATCTCATAGTGTATGGTTCCAAGAAAAATACTCATTTTTGACATGCCTGTTATTATTTCCCTAGTATATTGCATACTACACACAGGCATCTGCAAAGGCCCCAAATTAAGCTCAGTACTGCTGTATTCATTTAAGTTTTTTCTAACTGCTCCAGGGTAGTTAGCTTAATTGACCACCAATCTGATCTTGAGTAAGAAACACTACTTTTCCATCATGGGAAAAGAATGCCTTCTGTATTCTAATGGAGGGAGAAGAAAAAGAAACAGAAGCAGGCCTTAAATCTGAAGGGCTTTGTAAAAGCTTCATTTGTTTGTAGAGGGATATTAATTTCAGTGTATGTTTTAATTCAATATATAGTCTATTAACTAATTAAAGTATTTTTAACAAGTCAGTTAGTTTCTCTTCCACATGTATTTGAGGTATTCCTATGTCTGTCAATCATCACAGCATGGGAGATTCCCACTCTTGGGCTTGCTTTGGATCAAGTTTCTTTAAACATAGTGAGCTCATGCTCCTTGTTTACAGGGACAGGGGAGCAGAAACTAAAAGAACACTGTTAGAGCTGCATTCCAAGGCCCTTGCATCCCTCTCTACCCACAGCTGCATACCTGCCAAAGCTGTTCATAGGACCCATTGCAGCTCCAAAAAGCTACAGTTGGAAACAGTTTAGATAATTACTGTTTGCTCAACCAAACTTATTTAGGCTGCAGTAGGTACAGGGCACATCCCCAAAGGAGAAAGGGAAGGCTCAGGAGCTGGTGGGGGAGCTAGTGAAGTGGTGAGGGTAATAACTCCACCAGCCAACACAGCTGCAGCTATGAGGATGTGTCCATAGTTTCAGTGTAAAATTTATTGTGTCCAGTCAGTCCCCAAAATGACATGAGATCAGAAACTGTCTCACATTTTGCAGTCAAAACATGTTTTCTTTTAACTTTCTACATTTTGAACACTGTTTATCAGAGCATAGTACCAGCTAATTAAATTTAATTTAGAAAAGCTGCACAGCAAGGATTTTAATGCTTGCATAAAAATACACAGCTGGAGTTTGCAGATAGGAAGGAATCATGAGTCTTACCTCCTGTGGACTGTAAGTGAGAATAAACTCATGATCTGCACAGGGATACAGAACTCCCTGCTCAGGATTTAGGGAGAAGGCTGACTCTGTATCTTGATTGTATTTGACCCTTGTGAAGTTTGCAGTTTCTTCTGGTATTAATGATCTCAGATGAGGCTTTGTTATCTGCCAGAAGAAGGAAAGTTCTACACGGCTGCAAAGAGATCAATAAACAACAAGAGAGATATGGTTACAAAAATCAGTAGGTTTTGAGTAAAACTTTGGGATAAAATTTTCAGTTCCTTTTTCCATGTAGGAAATTCCTCCCTTTACAAACCACAGGGTTTGACTTACCACTATGTATGAGCTCCAAATCTGATGAGGCAGCATAGAGCCAGAGTATATAAATGTACAAAGAACTTGCTGATATATGAAAGTAAATGATATACATGTGTAAGATACGTTAACACTTTCTTGCCTTATTTGACTTGTCATGTAATCTACCTTTTAGGAACCTCTAAAATTCCTTTTTCAAGGATCTGAAATGAACAGGACCATTCC